CAAAGCGTCTGTCCTCTAAATCGCTGAATTTCCTACCCCGAAACAGACATACCATATTTGCGCTTCTCCAGCCACACACCATCAGTTCTGACTTCAGAGCTGTTATTTTTTTAAAAAATATTGGAATGCAGAACGCTGCAATCTTCCAGGAATCTGGGATCGAAATTATATGGCCCCTCTGTATGAAATGCATTGAGCTTTGGGCATTTCCAGTTATATCCACTTCCACCCTGCTCTGACTTCTCCACTGTCCCCTTGTTTTCTCTGTATTTATGGGCCTGAAGTTGTTTCTATTGCATTTACTTTGGAGAGCAACATTTTCCAACACCCAAAATATCAGGTTTTTTTAAACTGATAAATCTCATCTTCCAATTCCCCGAAGGCTTTCCTTACACTCAGCATGTTTCAGAGATGAGAGTTCACACAGGTGCCAGGAATCTTTCTTTCCCGTGCTTACAATGCAAGCTACAAACACATTTGCTTTTTCATCTCCGACCTAAAGAAATTCTAGCCCCCTCCACATTCAGCTTATCTGATCCCCCCCAGCAGAAGCCTGAGATGACTAAGGTTCTCAGTTTCTCAGAGCCCAAACCTCAGGAAAGAAGGATACTCCTATCTGTACATGAAAGAAAAATAAAATACGGGAAGAAACACGGAAGCCACAAATAGTTTGTTCTCTACACCAATCTTTTTTCCTTTCCTTTCCTTTCTCTAGTCTGACAGAAGCAACGCAATAGCAATTACGAGCGAGTGCAAGCCAGGTGGTTGGGAACTGTACCTTTAAAGAGGCTGCTTGTGCAGAATTTGCTATTTCCAATATTTCTTTTTACTCATGCAAAGTGGCTAAGAATATACACTGACAAAGAAATTTCCTCAAAATAACGATCTCAACATCAAAAAACGGAAAGGTATCACCAATGATTGTTTAAAGAGAAAATACAAAGTATACTCGTAGCAGATACAGAGCTGAAGAGTAAATCATTTACGTCAGAAATTTTAGAGGCCTCGATGACAAACCAGACTGGCCAAAACGACTGGCCAACGGAGAAAAAAATACTTTGGTCAAGCTGACTGGCCAAAAAGAAAGGCACTCAGCTCTCAAACGCGGTGGAGAGCGCTCACACATGCTTACTGATGAGAATTCAAAATCCTACAAGGCATAAGTACAGCAAGTGGAGATCAAAATGAGACTCCATGAGAAAACAAAGCAGCTACACAGAGAACAGAAAGCATCCCAGACACACTCAATACCCGGTACTTGGTATGTGTCCAGGCACATGAAGGGTCCATGGCTTCGTTTACAGAAAGTGACTTTTCAAAGAAACTGCTCACCCACCGTTCACTGTCGTTGGCCCATCCCAACCTTGGGAATACAAATGCTGTTTTCCTCCGTTACAGCTAACGCAAACCCAGGAAATAATCGAGGTTCCAGACATACCCTTACAAATATTGCATGAGCGCGTAAGACTAAGGCACGCTGCACGCATACAACACCATTTAGGGACCGAAAAACGTCGAGAGAGATGCACAGAAGGCACCACGTGGGGTCCCCGGGGCACGTGTGGCAATTTCACGGCTGACGCAGCACACACCCACCTTGGGAAACAACGCTGCAGTGGTACAAGGCAGGGAGGGGCCCACCATGCCACCACTATTAACTGGATACATGTTGTAGAAAATAAGAATGATCACGTCAAAACTCCAGGTGAGAGAGACTAGAAGCCATTTGGGCATCTCACATCCAAAGGTCTGAGGCAGGTCCGATCCACAGCACGCTGCGACAGCTAAGCCCCTGGATAGGCACCGCCACAAACTACTGTTGTAACAGCAACAACAGTGCCTTGAGGGAAATCTGCTGGTCCCCACGACAGCTGATCACACCTCAGAAGCTAACCAAACACTGCTAATTGTCAGGCCATTTATTTGACACTTATGGTCTCTTTGGTGTTTGAGGCGCAAGATGTGTCAGCATAAATAGACCTTCTGGGTTTTTTTAAACTGATTTTTTTCCCAAAGCCAAAGCGAGTGTTTGCAAGGACTATGCTAGCGTCAACAGGTGGCTGGCTCTTCACTGCAGTCTGCTCCGTCTTAATATGCAAGTTGATTATTTAGAGTAACCCGTTTGGAGCCTTTGCTGGAATTAGTTATAGGCTATGGATAGAAAAGCTGAGAGCATCTGGAGGTAGAGATGATTAAAGATTTAAGATAATGTTATCTGTAACCTGTCAGGGAGCAGCAAGGCTGCTCGAGGGAAGGCAAGCGGGAGCAAGGGGTGACCCCAGCACGGGCAGCGCCCTCACCAACGGGGCGCAGTCCCGCAACATCCGAGTCGAGCAGGCAGAGCCGGGTGCCAATAACAGGCTCCATCGACTGCCCCAGACCCAGCGAGGGGATGAACCAGGTCTGGGGTCTGTCCAGACAGGCTACATGTAGGTCTGCGAGGTCCATGCAGGAGACCAGCTACCTGCAGCAGAGGCCCAGGGTGGCCCCAGGACACAGGGCTGGAGGCCCCAAGCTGAGCCGAAATGGGGCCCTGGGCAGCAGTGAGGGAGCCAAGGGGAGGCGGCTCAGGTCCTCTAAGGCCCATTGGTGCGCTCGGGGCCCTGACATAGCTGAGTTTGGAAGGAAAATAATCTTTGAAAAGATAAACAAGTTGTTATTGGGAAAAAGGCCTAAGTTAAGATTCACCATCTACTGTCGTCTAAGAAGGGCGCATGTTCGTGCAGCTCCCTGGGAAGGCTGGCCAGGGCCAACAGACTGCAACAGGGCTGGACCATAGCCCTGTAAAATACAGAGTTACAGTGTCAGGGACATTTCTCGAGAAATGTATGATGGAGGCTCTACAGTCAATATGCTTTTAATGAACACTAAAAATAGAACCACAGTTCCTTACGACTGTCATAATTATTGCGCCTATTTTGAGCACTGGTACATTTCTCCCTGCAGTTTTTTTCTTGAAATTACTTCAGTATGTTTTCCCCGATTTCCAGCTTGCGTTTCCCATTCATTCACTCTATATCTGCTGTTTCAACATACATACACCTAGTTTATTCATAGGAAATCAAGGTTCTGAAGTTATTCAAGACTGTTTATTGGACATTTTCATTGGAAAAATGTATCTGGCCTGAAACACAGGTGGAGTGTTTATGTCTTTTGGTAATCATAAATGAAACACTGAAAGAAAGAAAAGGAGAAATAAAACTCCCTGCTGAGTTCCAAATGGGTATCCATACAAAGATTAGTAATATCTTCAGTCTCAAAAACTCGTGTATCCCTAAGTATCAACTTTCAACACGTTTTTACCATTTAGATTAAATACAACAACGGCAAATACTAGCTGTGAACAAGTGTAACATGATGAATTATATGTAAAACGTTTACTGAGTAGGATCTGGAATAAGAAATTTACTTCACCAGTTTGAAGCCTATCTTCATTCACTCTGAATGATGAAAATTCAATTTTTTTTTTTTCCCAAGAAAAAGGAAAGTATACTACTGTGCCAAATGCAGGTTCTCTTTTACTAAAGATATTTCTTGATATAAACTTTCTAGATTTTTCTCTCTTTAGATTCTCACATCTAAAATTAAATAAAACACACTTCAAAAATTTTAATTACTGTACTACTAGTGTAACGCTCATCTTTCTGCTATTCCAAAACCATTTCTCGCATTTGCCTCTCTTCTATAAGCGTGCGTGTGGGAAATTTTGAAACAGAGACCATTTAACAAGAAAAATTAAGGTAGGTGTTCTTCTTGCAACTAATGACAGTATTCCTCCTTTCCCAATATGTTGGGGGATTCATGATATTTCAGTTAAACATTTGATCTAAAATTGTTTTCCTGCAACAGCTGCTTGCAAACGTTGCTGTCTTTCCATGTTTCCAAGGCAGACCAGGCTACGCACCGGTAAAAGCGGAGGAACACAGTATATCGATGGTATAGCAGAGTTATAAATAAATGCGCTTAAAGGAAAAATCAGTCTCAGAATTAAATTGGAAATTATAGTATCGTTAAAATCATTTTTTTTCCCCTCTACGCACTAGGCTATAGAACCACCAGCAGCATGAAGAAGTCCTGAAAGCAGTTTCCTTTTAAAATATAGTAACAATTGAAGTTAGGCATTTCCACCTCTGTGTTTTTCAAATACAGAAACGTGGAACATAGGAACTTTGTGACGTTACATGGGAAGGAATGCCATAGCACACGAGACTTTCTTCTTACTATAGCTAAAGAATAACTAGGAACGTCTCTGTCCTCTCTTGCCATAAACGTGGACTGTAGGAAAATTACAGCTGTGAGAGTATGTCTACTTGCTATCAGAAGTAAATTGCCTATTTATTCGAACAGATACTGTTTCAAACCTCACGACAAGACACTTCACGTTCACAGAAAATAATGAAGTAACACAGAATCATAGAAACGTTGGTTGGAAGGACACCTCCAGTCCAAACTCCTGCTAGAAACAGCACCACTCTGCCATCACCAAGCCAGGTCATCCATGGCTTTTGTCTAGAGAAGTCTTCAAAACCTCTAAGAACAACAATGCCACAGCCCTTCTGAGCAACCTGTAACAGTGGTCCACACCACCACCCTTCACAAGTGGATTTGTTTAAGCCCAACTTGAATTTCCCAAGCTGCAATTTGTGGCCTTTGTCTCTTTTTGTTTTGCCCAAGACTACCAAAAACAGTTTGCTTCTATCATCTTACCATCAAATACCTGAAGACAGCCATTGGATCCACCCCGAGGCCCCTCCCTGCCAGTATTAACAAGCCCAGTTCCCTTGACCTCTCTTTACAGGACATGTGCTCTTGGCCCTTGACCATGTGGACAGTTGGGCCCTCTCCGGTTTCTCCACATCCCTCTTGAAGTGGGGGGCCCCAGACTGGAATCTGTACTCCTGGTGCAGTCTCATCAGTGCCAAGTAGAACGGGACAGTAAGGTCCCTTCCTCTGCTGGGCCCCACCCCTCTTAATGTAGCCTAGTATTGGGTTTAACTTACTCAGGATGACAGAGTGCCATGCCAGCTGGAGGCTGCACCATGGATCACTACCCACTGAGAAGAGCAGTCCAGCCAAGTCTCAACCCACTCAAGAGTCCGTTCATGAAGTCCTGCAAAAAAGACGTAAAGTACTTCAGCCTTTTCCGTCAGCTCTCTCACTGCGTTGCCTTCCCAATCAACAGCAGACCCACGTCTTCCCTTTCCATTCCACAGCTTCTTCAGAGGTTGAAACTTCATGAACATGCTTTTTTTCAGAAGGCAGTGAAAAATTTATTTCCTTCAGCACAAATCAAATGAACTTAGGACTAGGAAACAACAGCTAGATAAAATACACACACCCTCCCCCCCCCCCCAACCCTTTATTTTTTTTCTTCAAAATTATAGGACTTGATCACTTGGTGCTTATGCTAAAAACAGGAAAGATTTACATCCCGGAAAAATCTAACAAGCAGTAAAGGGATATGAAATTTAATCACATATTTTTCCCAAACTAACCACACCACTGAGTATATATTTTATCATGGCAGAAGAGGCAGGTTCTGAAAGCTTCCGAAAATTGCATGATAGGTTAATACAAAACACTATGTATTTCATGCTAGATGTGAGGAATACATGCAGTCTCAGCACATATGATTAAGATACTTGTAATAAGGTGGGGCTTGCAGAAAAACCTACTTAATGCAAACAACAGAAAAATCTTTCACTACTTTTACCCCCCGTGGTTTTTCCTCCTACAGAAATCTCCTCTCAGGTGCTGCCTATTCCACCCTAGGAATACCTGAGCTAAGGGAGAGCTGAGCTAAATCCAAACATGTTTTTCCTGACTAATTCAAGCACAGGGCAGATCGAATGTAGCTGGATTACACTCAGATACACAGTGCTGGAGTCTACGGCAGCGCACAGGGGTACACAAGCTTAAAGATCAAGGATCCCTAGCTGTGACCTACACCCTCTCTCACAGCACAAACAAACAATAACGGTACTGGGGAAGCAAAGGGCTGTGCTCCTTGGACTTTTGAAGCACTAGGCGGTCCCGATTTTACTGTGTATTCTGAGATTCAAATCTCTCTATCTTCCATGGTGGTATTATTTTTACCACCAAATCAGCTATTTCTTTGGGTTGAACTCTGTCAGTCCTGATATCAATAGCAGTCTGTCGTATTACAAAATGGAAGAGGCACTGGGAGATCATCCAGTTTATCCCTCTGCTCAGAGAAGATGCATCTAAACCACAGGCAGTTTGTGCAAGACAGCACAAAAGATGTGTCAAAGGTGAGTTACTCTCTTCAAAGTAGTAATTCTACACCCACAGTATATTTATTGAATCTCATCTGAAATATGACTGGTATTTCTTCCTAAAGAATGCAAATTAAGAGTTCTTTCCTCCGTTCCCCCCCACCTCTTCTCATGCTCTTTCCAGCTGTTAACTGAAATTCTTATTTTCCTAGTTGGACACGTACAAAGATCTCGCTGAAAGGACCAAGAATGAAAAACAATACCTATCTATGTTTTTAAAAGCTCAAAGTCTAGTTTTTAGAGTCACAACATTTAAAACTGAAATCAGGTTTCTTATAGTTCTACAAAGGGACCTAAAAAACCCTGACTTTTCTAAAGATTTTCAGAAGCTTCCTTGATGAGACTCACTGGATTTTCTAATTAGCGAACCACTCGCTATGTCACGCTCATCTGAAAAGCCAGTCACCTCTCTTCTTAGGATATCCTGGCTTCCGACTTAGTACAACTGATCCTAAATGAGAACTCTGCAAACAATAGCAATAATAAGGTTACAAAATGACACTGAACAGTTAAGGTGTTGTAGGCATCTGGCAGCACCCGTTGATGGAACGGAACAATAGTTGTCTAGACACGCTTTCACAACAGATTCGATCTGGACGTTTTACTTACCGCTTTCTGCCACGCACAGGCTTAGCCATGCAATTCTGAGCACTTAAATCTATTATTCCAATTTCGTCCCATTGTGCCCAAAACCTGCTTTATTAGCTAAAGACCACGCACATGTTTTGCATACCTTTCTCTCCACATCAACCTAACAAAGTTTCCATTTGGTATTATGCAGACAGCTGTCCATGTACTGTCAAACTAACTTGTAAGTTTAAATATGATTTAACTTCTACTGACGCTGCTTTTCAGTTCTTTGTTTTTGGCAGCCAGATACCTCTCTTATTTCCCATATAGTTCTCCTGTCACTGTGTAACACACAGACAGCTTCCAGAAGAAGGAAAAACTGAAGGCTGATTCTAACTTTATCACAACAAAATACGCCATTGCAGAATTGTTAGTTTTATTTTTTCCTAGTACCTTGAAGGTTATCTTTCTTCAAAACTGAGCGCATGTGATAACTGGTAAGGCTAAAGCTGCCAAAATTCCTCCCTTTTGGGGGATTCTATGTAACGCTTGAAGACTCTATCAATAAAAAAAAAATACACACAGAGGTGCCTGAAACAAACACGGACCACTTGATAAACAAAGAAGTAAAGTTAGCAGCAAAAACACCAGTCCAGATCCAATCTCCCTATAGTGAGATTTGGAGGAATCTCACTACAAGAAACAGTGAAAGTCCAAGGCATGAAAACGTTCCTCTGTTGGTCTTCTCTATTTTTCTCTTCTTCAAGAATTCAATATCAATTTGATTTTTAACGTACTATTAGCTTCTCCTTAAAGGATGAAAAAAATACATCGATTTTCACAGCAGGTAAAATCCACATATGCACGTACACACACACACACACACACACACACAGCCCTTTCTAGAAACTCCCAATTATTGAATGAAATGTAAGTAGTTAGGCTCCACTCTTGTTAATACGGATTTTGCAACCTCCTACTCCTGTAGTTTTTCAGATCCTGAAGAAACGAAACTGTACTGGAATAATTAAAAATTTTCAAATCTCAAGCTTACAAACTCCTACCATGAAACAGAGGGTATAAAAGCAACAGTCCATGAAATATTAGCATAAAAAAAATCTTTTCTCGAGAGGTCTACTGATAAACTCTGGCTTGCATAACCCCAATAGTGGAATGCGCTCTGTGGACACTTTGTCCTGCTGACGCTGTGAACCTTTTCCACTCCCAGCACCCCTTCTCCTGGCCCTGCCCTTCCTGCTGTGAGGGAGTCTGGGGAAAACAGAAGTGGACAGCAATGTTTCTTATTGACTACAGAGGAAAAATAAGGAAAACAGTGGCGTTCTGAATGTCCCTGGCAAGTGACCATATGTAAGAAAAATGTTCAGTCTACCAAATACGGAAAGGACAGGCTGGAAAGGTTTTCATTTCCTGAAAGGGTTGACAGGGTGGCAGCAAAGGCAATGGCAGAGCACACTACTGTAACCTGCCCTTGGGAGATCTGACACAGGCTGTGTTTGAGACCTTTAGAGTCAGTTTTAGTAGTTCTCACCCACACTCCAGTCTTCAGTGCAGCGCTACCCAAACACTGCATTCATCACATTCAGTACAAATCTGACGATCTGTTCTACAACTTAAGAAAGAAACTTAAAAACGTAATACTTGCAACATACTCAGAATTTGTCAAGTAATCATGCAAATGTATCTGAACGGCTGCATTTTCCTCATGAACTGGGTGCATATACTACTACCTTAATGGCACACTTTGAATCTGAAATCTCTTGAATTTGAATGCATTAAAGGAAGACATTCAAAGAACTAAACCTGGTATTAACCAGGTTCTGGAAATCACTCATAAAGTTTTCCAAGTATTTTTTTTTTTCCAAGCATAGTAATGGAAACAGTTCAGAAAGACAACAAAAGGAGCTAGATGCACAAAGTGGCCACGGGTCACAAACATCTAGCAAATCCACAAAATGACAAACGTGAAAATTATTTTTTCCTTAAATTCCAAATCTATTTAGTCTAATTTAAAAATATTTTTACAGAGGTAAGACAGAGAAGTCTTTTTAAAGTAATTCTGTCCCACTAGGCAGTCAATGAGATAAATATTCTGATATCAATAACTTTCAAAAACAGTTATCTAAAGTCCCAGCCCACAGGTTTTGCTTTTTTTTTTTTTTTTTTAAATGGTTGTAATTAGATAGATTCTGTTTTTCAAGTTCCTTTATCTTTGGTAATTTAGCTTTTCCTAGCCAAATTTTAGCAATGACCTGCTGACCTTTTAAATTCTGAAGCCAGGAAATGTGCTCTTAATGCCAGCTGCTCATTTGATCGATGCTCTGATCTATGGTGTCCGTTCTGTTTTGTCACCTCAACAGAATAATACTGCAAGATTTTTTTCAGTGAGGATCAGTTTAACACTTGGTTTCGGCTGTACTTTCAAATTAGCAATATAATCTATACGGATAACCGCCCGTGCAGAAACTCATTCCTGCACGCGTTTGGGAAAATGTTTTCTTTTGTAGCTTATTTGTCCTTAAGAAAAATAAACACATACATGAAGAACATGAATGGCTGTCACTAAATATAGCCTAAATATATGGAAACTCTTTTCCCTCTAGTTTTTAGAGGCATCACTTACTAGGTTATTTCTTCTATTCTTATGGTATAGCTGTTCAATTTATAACGACCTCCTCTGCAGTGCTTATGATCACGAAGACTTCATCCAGTCACAGGAAAAAAATTCTGACGTAGTTCAGTGTTCACTTATTCTTGTATGTAATATTGGGACAATTTATTTCCTTATTCCAGATAAATGCGTTTTCCTGGTCAGTCAAAATCAGGTGGTGGCATTTCTTTTCTACTTACAGTAACCAGTGTATCCCTTACCAAGTTTACGTTAAGTGTAGATAGATGCTTATGTGCATATACAGCAAGCCATCCGAAGTACAGCTTTTCGGCTGTGGTTGCCGATTGTAAGTTTAGAGGCTGCTACCTGAGGCAAAAAACAAACAAACCAACAAACCAACAAACGTGATGTCTCAAAGGGCAATTTAAATCATGGGGCTATTTAGCCAAGCTCAGTGAACATCCCTGCAGTCTGAATGCTTTTTGGGACTGGAGCTCACTTAAAGACAACACACAACACTTAAAGAACTACACAGAAATATATATTTAAAACAAACAAACCAACAAACCAACAAACTTGTCATAAGAAAGCAACTGGAAAATGACTGACCCCAGC